TTCTGATCTAGCTCCTTGCTATTGTGCCTGGGGAAGAAGCAGAATGGCCCATGTGCTTAAGCACTTGTACTTACATGGGAGACCCAGAAAATATTCCTGGCTTCTGACTTTAGACCTGCCCAGTTCCAGCTGTTGTGGCCATTTGGGGATGAGGATCTCTATCTTTCCTCTTTGTAACACTCATTTTAAATAAAAATAAATAAAATATATATATATATTTAAAAAGCTATAAATTTGCCTATAAATGTGGCCTTAGTTGCAATCCTTAAATTTTAATGTTAAGATTTTCATTCTGGGGCCTGGCGCAGTAGTCTAGTGGTTAAAGTCCTAGTCTTGCACATGCTGGGATCCCATGTGGGCACCAGTTCTAATCTTGGCAACCTCACTTCCCATTCAACGCCTTGCTTGTGGCCTGGGAAGGCAGTTGAGGAAGGCCCAAAGCCTTGGGACCCTGTGGGAGACCTGGAAGAGGCTCCTGGCTTCTGGCTTTGGATTGGGGTAGCTCTGGCCATTGTAGCCACTTGGGGGATGAATCAACAGATGGAGGATCTTGCTCTCTGTCTCTCCTCCTCTCTGTGTATCTGACTTTTCAATAAAAATTAAAAAAAAAGTTTTTCACTTTTTAAATTTCAAAATGCTTTGCAGTTTTATTATAATTTCTTTGTGTTAGGTATTACTTAGAAGTATGTTTGCTGAAGTTTGAATATTTAATGATTTTCTAATTATCTAAATATAGACTGATTGTTCAGTTCATTTACACATTCTGCATAATTTCTGTTCCTTGATTGATGATGTTAGTTTTATGGTACTGTGCCTGTACATAAAAGAAATGTATTATGCAGTTACTGGATATAGTATAGTTGCTATAAGATCATCATCATCATTATGTCAAGGTTATTAATTTTTCATATCTTTTGCATCTCTATTGATTGTTATTTCATTTTGTATAAAATTTTCCCAGTTGTGGTTGTAATCTACCTCTCCTAAGTAGTCAGTTTTTCGTTTTATATATTTTTGAATCACTATTTAAGTTCATATAAATTTAATTTGTTTGTACCTTCTGAATAATGTGAACTTTTTTAAAAAGATTATTTTTGTTTATTCAGGACTGGTGTGTTCCAGTGCTGTGGCAGCGTGCAGTGTTAGCATTCCATATGGGCACCTTTGGTGTTCTGGCTGCTCTACTTCCAACCCAGCTCTCCAGCTCTCTGCTCGTGTACCTGGGAAAGCAGCAGAGGGTGGCTCACGTGCCTGGACCCCTGGACCCACATAAGGGACTCAGATGACGCTCCTGGCTTCAGCCTGTCTCAGTCCTGGTCGTTTGGAGAGTGAACCAGTGGATGAACCATCGCCTCTTTCTCTCTGGCCCTCTCTCTCTCTGTAAGTTTTCTTCCTCATTTCTCCCTCTCCCTGCCTCTCTGTAACTCTGGCTTATGAACACATATGTAAAATGTAGAGTCACAGATTGGAAGAGGCAGAGAGAGAAGGAGTTTGTATTCTGCTCACTCACTGCTTAACTGACCGTAACGGCCATGGCTGGACCAGGTCAAAGCCAGGAGCCAGAAGCTTCATCCTGTCTCCTAGGATTATCTGTCTGCCCTGGTTATCTTGCACTGTTTTTTCCAGAATGTCAGCAGGGAGCTGCATCAGAATTAGAGCAGCCAGAACAGAAACTGATGCTCCTACAAGATACCTTGTTGCAGGCAGTAACTTTACCCAATGCATAATAAAGCTGGCCTGTGAATGTTTATTCTTTAATTTTTTGCTCTTATGTTCTTAAATTTTATTTGAGGTGCGCAGAGAGAGGTAATGAGAAAGCGATGTTGTATCCACTGGTTCATTTCCAAAGTGCCTGAAAAAACCAAAGCTTAGACAGCCAAAATATGGAAACTTTTGTAACAGGAAGCCAGAACTGTGAATTGAGGCAGGACTTGAACCCAGAACTCCGGTATGGATGTAGGCATCCTACCAGGTTTGTCTTCTGCACTGTCTGCCTTTACTCTTAGGAAATGTTTTCCTTTTTCTAAGCATGTTTAAGTTAAGCATTCATGGTTTATAGTTACAGAGATATTTATTCTACCTTTCTTTTGGCTAGTGTTTTCCTGGGGAGACTTTCTAACCTTTTATTTGTGCTTCAACATGTCATTATTTCTCAAATGGAACTTTTAATAATAGCATTTTCATGACTTTTCGCCTTGTGTTTCTTTAGAATGCACACTTAAAATTGGAAAGGAAGCTGTCAGTGAGGTTCGCTGAAGGCAGAGGGAGGAAGCGGTCCTTGCCTACTGCTTGCTGTTGTGTTAATTCTAAGTAGTTTATAGCCCAAACACCGGTCGCCCTTTGCTCTTCAGTGCAGCAAACTGTTACTCAGGGTCAAGGGTAAACTGAATGATAGCACTGGTTTCAGAACCCGTGTGCATGCACAGAATCAGACCATGTGACTGATTGTATCCTGAGGGAAAGCTTAATGCTAGGGTATAGGTGAGCTCAAAAGACACAGGTGATAAAGGAGAAACTTCCCAAGGCAAATAAGACAGTGGAGGTGGGAGCCATAGGTGACCCCTGAGCAACCCAAGGCCTGCGATTTCCTGTAATATCCCATACCCTGCACCTGCTGGCTTGATGCTGTTCCTGCTAAGTTGTAGTAAATGCAAAACAATTAATGTATTATTATAATGTGTCATTCTTAAGTACAAGTTTGGGGATTTACATTTAAAGCCTGCCACATCTCCCCCCCACACACACTTTTGCTTCTGTCCTGTGATTAGAAGAGCAGTAAGTGTGATTTAATAGGAGTTTCATTTGTATTTCTTAATACTTACAGAGGTTTGTATAGTCTGCTCAACGTCTTAGTGCCTCAGCAAAAATCCTGCGTTAATCAGCAGCACGATCTCTTGTGATATTCGTTTCATTGGCAGTCATTTTTTTATCTCAAATGTCTCCCGAATAAATAGGAAGAACAATCTCCTCTGCACTCAGATCCGTAAACAGCTTACTGATCAAAAACTAGGCATGCGTTTCTTTTCTCTTTAAATCAGAAGAAAATCTTGCCATGGTTTCCTGTCAAGAAGTGAATCCTGCTTTGTTTCCTGCGCTGAAGTCATACTCATATCTTGTGGAAAATCAGTAATAGTTTAAGGCAATCTGGATGATTTGTACTTATCAGAACTTGGAACAGAATTCTTTGAGTCTGACTGACAGAAGAATTAAGAGCTTTCCAGCTCCTTGGAGGTGTTAGAAATCTTAATGATGCTGATCTTATTTTTTAGTACTGCAAATAAATAATAAAAGTACTGTCTACTGATTAAATGACCTTGCAATTAAATACATATTTAACTTGGTGCCTAATGCAAATCTAAGAGAGTTCAAATAACAAATGCAGTGAGCCAAAAGTATGGATGGCACATTTATTTGCATAAAATCAGAAGAATACGTCTTTTACTGGTGTTTATAGAAAACATGTTCTTTGGCCCGAGCTTCACAAAGACTGTCAGGAACAACATCCCGTGAAATTAAGTTCGATGTAAGTCGTGGGGGATACCTAGGCGGTCCTGCAGAGCACTCCTCGGTTTGGTAGTTCAGTGCCAGGCAGGCAGACAGCTTCTGCTGTTTGGGAAAAGAAGAGGTTCGAATCTGTAGTAGTGGGATACAGCATTGATTCTATTGGAGAGTTCCTGGGAGAAGTTTTTTGTTTGGCTGGTTTTTGTTTTACCATTAATTCAAATTTAGATACTGCACATGTGCAATATCGAACCCTCAGTCCATGTCATGAGACCTTATATCATTATGAAAATTAAATCTGGCTCCTTTTGTCTTCTTTGCCACTTCATTTTTGTTTTCTGGGCTTGCAACCTACAGACTTAGGAAGGTTTAAATCAGCGTGTATAGGTGAGTGGGGTTAGGAAGTATCTTAAGGTCTCGTGAATGGTCAGCTCTTTTGTTGCTTCCTAATTTGCTGGAAACCTAGGACTGGTCACCTCATGGGAGAAAACAGATACAAGCCCATCTGGCCTTGAGAGCAGAGGCATGGTGGTGGTCCTTACCGAAGCTGTTAAGTGTGAACTGTTAAACACTCCTTAGTTCCCACCGTATTTGTTGAAGTTGTTGCTGCATCACAGCTTTTATTGCAACATTTAGATTCAGAGAGATAGAATATATTTAGCCTTTCTAAACATTGTAGATTCCTTGTTATCGAAACTTATCCAGATTTTTAAGAAATGCTAAATTTTTTCCATGTGTCTCTTGTCTGTCCCAAATTGCGCATGTTGTTGCACTGTGTATTTAAAATGCCTCCTGGACACGGATGGCTGTCCATGCTGTGGGCAAGTCTAGATGCGAAGGCATTGGCTGATGGTATGACCTTCCCAGCTTCGTGACTGATGCTGTGGAGATTTTGTTGGGTTTGCTTTTCCTCTACCTGTGATCCGGAGTCTCCATGTATAGTAGCATATACTAATAATAATGTGGTGTGGAGGTATTGGGAGTCCTCAGTTCAGGGATACCTGTGGCGTGTTTAATATATGGTCAACTACTATACCATCGGCATTCAGTCAGTGTTAACTCTGGCTAGGAAACCAAGGTAGATAAATCCCTACTTCCAAAGGTAAAGATTTAAATTACATTTTGTATTTGCAATTAGCTACTTCTTGCTTCAGTACAAAGCTAAGAAGATCGCTGGATTCCTTATCTATGACACCTGCCTGCCAGTTTCTCTGATAAATTCTACTAACTTGGGACAGATTGGGTTTCACTATCATAATGCTACCAAATTTGTCAAACAGTTTGTGCCTAAGACATTCTTAAAGCATTTAGCCCATAGTAGGCATGTCACACATACCATTAGGACCTTGAATCCTTTGTTAGTTTTTTGGTTCCTGAAGAATCCCTTGCTAACAAGTCTCTGAAGGTAAGCGGTGTGCTCCTAACGGAACAGCCCATTGAAGCCTGGTTTTGTAAGAAACTTTTGCTAATAATGCCCTGTCTGTGTTTTGCTGCTCCAGACATTTCTGCAAGTGGTTGGCGTGGTCGCTGTGGCAGCAGCTGTGATCCCCTGGATTCTGATCCCCTTGGTCCCGCTTAGCATCATTTTTGTTTTTCTTCGGCGGTATTTCTTAGAAACATCAAGAGACGTCAAACGCCTGGAGTCCACAAGTGAGTGCCGAGGCCCTTGGGCTGACTGCAGAGCTAGCTGGCTGGCTCCTGTTTATGCTGTGATGAGGGAGACCCCTGACACTCTGTAGATTCTGTCTTCCTAGAATTTCTCACTTGGTTCCCACTGGGTTGCTGAACATTGTGTCCAACCTGAGTCAGTGTGACCCTGAGGCAAGTGGAGCTAGGTGGACTGCTAGGTGCAGCTTGGATGCTTAGCAGGAAGAGGGAAGGAAGGACTGTTAGCTGTGCGTTGCTGCAATGAAATTCCTGAGGCAGGCCACCTTTATCAAGAGCAAAGATCTATTTAGTTCACTGTTTTGAAAGTTCAGACTCCAAGATTAGGGGGCCCTGGTGATTTGGCCTCTGATACAGACCCCATGGAGGATCACAGTGGTAAGAGTGTGTGAGGAAGAGGAGCTGGCTTGGTAAGAAAGAAAGCAAAGACAGATTCAAGATGTACTTTCCCCTGAGTTACACCTTGCTCTTGCAGGAACTCACTGGGTCACACAAGAAACACCACAGTCCTTTTCAAGGATCCATCCCTGATTGACCTAATATCCCACTGTCTTCCATGTGAAGAAGGAGGCAGTTTCTCCCATCTGCCCTCAGACACTGGGACTGGGCCAGGCCAGAGTTGGGGGCTAAAAACTCAACGCAGGTCTCCTCTCTGGATGGCAGAGATGCAGCTACTTGAGCCGTCACGGCTGCCTCCTGGAGTGCCCCAGATGGGATGCTGGTTATAGGCAAGAGAGCCAATCTGGAGCATCCATGCAGACATTCATGGATCTGCATACCCATGCCCACCCTGGTCCATCCTTGCAGAAGCTCTGTGCCACCTCCAAGTACTGCCAACCTATGAGCCAAGCTCTCAACCTCTGGACTTGGCAACTTTCCAACCCTTGCAAGGATGCATGTGGAATACCACACGACTGAAATGGGAGTGTCAGGACAACAGGTGTCATTTGTGTCTTGCTCATGGCACACTTCCTTAAGCATAGTAGGCACTCAAACATTTGTTCTTGCAAATAAAATATTTCATCATGTGTTGGTACTTAAGAAGGCAATGGGGGATTTTTCTTTCTCTAAATCTACCGAGAGTGACAGGAAAGGAAAAGATTAGAGGAAGGAGAGGTAGTATCAGAAATTCACTCAGATGTCAGAAGAGATATGTATGAAAACTGTATTTCTTTTGCATACTTAAAACATAGCTAATGCGTTGCAGTCGTCAAATCTTTGGGAAAGACTGGCACTGTTATTTTCAGTTTTGCTCTTTATTATCAGCAGTACTTGGCGCAGCACTGCACTGAGCTGTCCCTTCCCTGGCTGTTGAGAATAATCCCCTTAAGATGGGGATCGCTTTAGAAGGCATTTCATCTCCTACACTGTCCGACTTCCTCGCTTGGCCATGCTGTGGAAGACATTTTGTGATTAATTACTCCTTTCTGTAAATCATCACAGAAGATGAAATAATCTGGAGCTCATCTCATTATGAATGTATGGGCTAACAATATTTCATTATCAAAGTCCGGAGTAGAAAAGAATAGCTTTACTTTAAAAAATATCCTAATAGCCAACAAGGGCCACACGTCATATGGAAAGCTTCCACTGTGGACAGTTGGTTGAAAATGAGTACCGGGCCCAGCGGCGTGGCCTAGTGGCTAAAGTCCTCGCCTTGAACGTGCCGGGATCCTATGTGGGCGCTGGTTCTAATCCCGGCAGCTCCACTTCCCATCCAGCTCCCTATCTGTGGCCTGGGAAAGCAGTCGAGGACGACCCAAAGCCGGGACCCTGCACCCCTGTGGGAGACCTGGAAGAGGTTCCTAGTTCCCGGCTTTGGATTGTCGCAGCACTGGCCGTTGCAGTCACTTGGGGAGTGAATCATCGGATGGAAGATCTTCCTCTCTGTCTCTCCTTCCGTATATCTGACTTTGTAATAAAAATAAATAAATAAATCTTACAAAAAAAAAAAAAAGAAAAGAAAATGAGTACCAACTCAGCTTTCTGGAATTCACGCCAACCAGAAGAGCAGACTCAATCCTGTAGTCCTAAACATCTTTAAGGTGAAAATACAAATTTGTCGAGGCAAACATGTTTTTGTTGTGACGTACAAGTGTTTCTTTTTCATGAGAATGGTTTTCTTACAGATCTGTTTATTTGAAAGGCAGAATGACAGAGAGGGATCGATCATTCCCTCTGCTGGCTCAGTCTCTAAGTGACGGCAGCTGTTGAGGCTGGGCCAAGCCAAAGCCAGGAGCCTGGAGCCTCACCCAGGTTTCCCACGAGCATGTTAACACAGGGATCTAGATCGGAAGTAGAACAACCAGGACTTGAACCAGCACTTTGATATCAGAGGCTGGCACCACAGGCAGTGGCTTAACTTGCAGTGCCGCAACACCATCTCCAATAATAAACTCTGAAGAGGCAGAGTGGCTGCATGAAGGAGAGCATGTGACAGTTTCATAACAGCTACAGCAAATGTTCAGTGAGCGAAAGAACTAACCATCCTGTGTGAGATGGTGTCTGTTGGGTGTTTCAAGGGAAGCAGAACATAAGCTGTAGCCCGGCTGGGAGACCCCCTCCCGCCCAGTGCATAGTGTTAACTCCGGTGATCTCTGTAGGCAGTAAGAATTCCAACAGCTTGTGATTTAGGGCCACACATGATATGGAATCACTCAGAGGTGTTGTGGCAAGTGAAGTTTTAGATAATATCAAGGAAGGGTTGTTTATTCCAAAAGGAACCACTAGGACCCCCTCACATCCCTTTGGTCAGTGAGAGAAAAGGAGCTAAGGCTTTTTCCCAGAGGTGTAGGATTTGCTCTCATGGGGCCCAGGACATAAGCCAGAAATCTTGAAAAACTATTGATGTAGAAACTTGGAGAGTTTTACAATGGTCCTTGTAGAACACCTGAGTTTTCCTGCAGCCTGTTTGGCTGGCACAGTTGAGTGTGATGCCACCAATGTTTGCGTCATGGTGCTGACTTGTTCTGGTGAGCCCTCTGAGCTGGCTGGAACTAGACTTCTGGCGTCCCAACAAGGAATGGGACGTAAATTTCTCTCCATTATCCCTGTGGCCACCCTTCTTCCACATTACAAGAGCAGAGTGCAGTATCTGCTGGGAGGTGCAGAAGAGATCTGTGCCGAGCTTCCTGCCTGCCTTATTCAAGCAGGAGTCCCATCCTCTTCTGTTCACATTACTGTTAAAAGTGCAACATTAAAGAACGTTAAATAGCAGCTAAAGGTTTGCCTAAGGGCAAGCATTTGGTGTAGCGATCACAGGCACCCTAGGAGGCAGCAGAAAATAGTTTAAATAGTTGGATCTCTGCAACCCAATGGAAAGGTGGAGTATTTCAAGCTCCTGACTTCAGCTGTTGTAGTCATTTGAGGAATGAACCAGCAGATGAGATCTCTCTCTCTCTCTCTCTCTCTCTCTCTCTCTCTCCCTGACTTTCAGACAAATAGAAATTTTTATAAACCATGTGCTCTGTGTATCTGAGAGCACCTCAGTGTTGCTGCCACTGTGTGGCTAGACACAACCGGACAATCAAAACTACTCAGATCACCCAAGTCTCTGCTTCAGGTGGAATGTGATTTTACACCACATCAGGTTATGTCCTGGCCAGCAACTTTGTGTTCCAGAAATATTTGTGAAAGGAATGTGCAAGGAGAGAGCTCCTGGTGGCTACAGTCCCCAGTCAGATGTCCTAGACAGGACGGAGCTCCACAGTGAGCAGGTGGCCAAGTGAGCCACGGCCAGTACTGAGCTTCCTTGCCATGACTTCACACTTTTCCTGGCCCTGATGACACACCCAGATGTCTTCCTGGTGTGGGTACTGTGATGCAGAGCCATACCCCTACTTGGGGTGTCTGCATCCCACATTGCAGCAGCTATTCAAGTCCTGGTTAGTCTGTTTCCAATACAGCCTTCTGTTGAGCTACCTGGGAGTTATCAGATGATGGCTCAAGTGCTTGGATCCCTACAACCACATGAGTGACCTAAGGCCCCTGACTTTGGCCTAGCCCAGCCTCAGCTGTTGCAGGCACTTGGGAAGTAAATCGGCACATGGAAGATCTCCCTGTCTCTCTGTCACTGCCTTAGAGTAAAATAAAATAAACTAATATACAATACCGCCTAAAGAAACAACTCCATCCATAGCTGTGGAACTGTGAAGTCTGACCTATAGAAAAGTCCTGTGTCTTGATCCTGTGACCCCTGCACACCCTGTCTTGAATCCATGCAGCTCCTACATGCTGCCATTTGTCAGACAGGCACCCCATATGGACTGAGGAGGCTATAGGGGCTGTAGTGGCACGAGTGGGCCCAGGAAGATATCCCAAGGCATGGGAGGTAAAACAAGTGCCCACTGAGCTCCTTACCAGGCACCTGCCCCCTGCTGGGTGCTCTTCCATGTAGCAGGACAGCAGGGCTATATTCTCATGGTTAAGAAATCAGTTGTCTCAGATGGTGGGAGAGGTGGGTGGTGGTGGTGCAGATACATCCACAGCTAATGATATGTCCATTCTTATCCTCACAGCACGAAGTCCAGTCTTCTCCCACTTGTCATCTTCACTCCAGGGACTCTGGACCATCCGTGCATACAGAGCCGAGAACAGGTTTCAGGAGCTGTTCGATGCATACCAGGATTTACATTCAGGTCTGTGCACTTCCACAAGTGCTGCTTCCCCAGTCTTCACTTCCTGTCCGAGCATATCTTCCTCTCTTCCTACCTTCCTGTTGATCCCTGTCAGAATCTGCTCTGCTCCTACCTCTTCCTCACAGGCTTGTGCCGAGTCCTGCGGCTCTTTCTGTCTCTTTTAAGCCAAAGGTCAGCAAACTTGTGTTTGCAAAAGACTCCCCTGTTAAGTGTTGGGCTTGGTGCACGGTGCTGTGTCTGTTGCCACCACTCATCTTTGCTCTTCTAGCAAGAAAGCAGGCACCAGGGTCGCATCAGCAATGGGCTGTGGTTGTGTTTCAATAAAACTTTATATCCAGAGACAAATGGTGGGCGTTCCTGATCTTGGACCATAATTTGACAGCCAAGAGCAAGCAGAGTGGCCAAAGTGAGAGGAAATTTGATTCCATGATTAGATTTGCCACCCAGTTTTAGTGTATTATTCTTTGTGTCAGTGAAATGATTTTTTTTTTCACTTTCAGGATTTCTTTTGAATTTACAAGTTCTGGTTGTTCTGTATTTTAAAAGTTAAATGGTTCCTTTAAAAACAGATGCAAACCACCATTTAGGTGGTTATTTAGATATACTGTATCCACTGCAACAGGGCACTTCCTTAAGTATGGAAGGTGCTGGAAGCATATCGGGAGGTACTCCGTCTGCTTTGGAGGAACTGGGGACAGTCAGCCATGCAAGCAGGTCAACTTCACAGCAAGCCCCATTATTGCAAGAAATGCACCTGGCAGACCATTTGTTCCGAATTCCTTTAACCTGACTGACATCTCATTGCGTCTTCCCACCAAGCTGCTGTACTGTGCTGTGTGTGGACCATGCATTGCCCTTGTCACTTTGCTTTCCAGAATCTTGAGATAACTTGAGTGGGCAGCGTGACTGTCCTACTCTGTAACTCAGCTGGCCAACGCCCTCTCTCACTTCTGATGCTTTTTTTTAATGGGTTTGGTTCTTCCTCACAACGCTGATTACGGTTCCCAAATCCAGAGGCGTGGTTCTTGTTTCTGACGACGTCCCGATGGTTTGCTGTGCGTCTGGATGCGATCTGTGCCATCTTTATCATCATTGTTGCCTTTGGATCCCTGATTCTGGCAAATAGTGAGTACAGATGCAACTGTTTATGGTGTGATTACAATGTGAGGCAGTGTTTACAGTTATTAAACTCCTGCCACCTTGCCTAATATCACATGCTGTTTGGGCCTAATGAAGTGTAGCGAAGCATTTAGAATGTCAGGAGTGGATGCAATTCGGCAGTGCGACCCATTTAGAAGAGACTCGTTTGGTCTTAAGAGATGCATTTTATCTCTCTTTGAATGGATCAGGGTCTCAACAAATAACATTCTGGACATTCCTGGCCATGTGTGACAGAAGACAACACAGTTCACCACTAAGCATCTTGTTCAGCTTAGAGCTTTAGGTTTTAGCTATGGGCTGATTGCGTCTGCAGGTCATCGGTGCCTAATGTGCTGCGTCCAGAAGGATTTCCATGTGAGTGAGCATTAGCATCAGCACCACGTGGTAACAGATGAGCAGGTGTTGGCCTGTGTGGTGTGAGGTCACCGTGCCTCACCCTTCCACCAGTACAACTCTGAATTACAGTATAAATAACGGAACAATGAGAGTAGTATTTTAGCTTCAAAAGCATTGGCCCTTGGAACTCAGGGCTTGTTTTCAGTGGTTTCCAAGTGTGGTTGCTTTGGAAGTAGGAAGTGGCATTGCATAATGGGTTCTGAAACCCTAATGATGAGTGTCTCTGAATAAAGACATTATTGCTGGCATAAATTATACTGTTTTTCAAGTGTGGGTCAATCCTGTTAGGACTAATGAACTGGCTTAATCATCTTTTTGTGTTTGTAATGAGGTTTCTTTCGTTGTAGCTTGACCTTGTTTAACAGCTAGTCAAAGTGTAGATTTTGCTATCATTGCATGCAGTTTGCTTAAGCGTTTAGAAGGTGTTGTCTCCGTGAAGTGGCAGATATGGCAGCAGGCTCCGGTCAGAAATGAGACTGGCTTTCATCTCTCCCTCTTCCTCCTGCAGCCTTGGATGCTGGACAGGTCGGCCTGGCCTTGTCCTACGCCCTCACCCTCATGGGGATGTTCCAGTGGTGTGTTCGGCAGAGCGCTGAAGTGGAGAATATGGTAATGTTTATGTTAACATTCTCGGCCTCTTCATGTCTCCTTACCATTAAATGGCATAAAAGCCATTCTTATGTAAAATATTAAAACTGTTATTTTTACATCGTAGCTCACAGAGTTTTTTAAGATCCTTCCTCCATCTGTTTAAAGTTAATGTAAAATACAATATATACATCTTTTTCTCAGTCTCATGGCTGCTATGTCAGCAGGTTTTATATTCATCACAAGCTGTCTTTAAATGCAATAAATGTCTCTGTAGGAGGGAGATTCTGAAATCCTAGAGAGGATGTAAGCTAATTTCCTAGAGGCCTGTTTATTTTTGTTTCATAATGAGTTATTCTTCATTTCTGGAAAAAGAAGAATTTAGTGTTTTGAGGTTGTTTGTTTAATTAATAGCCTCCCCCCACCAACAACTTCAGCATTTATTCTCTCGTTATTCCAATGAACAGGAGGCAGGAGGCCACAGACTTGCTGCTCTCCCTTCCAAGTAGGACAGCCCCCTTGGAATGTGGTAGGCACAGGTATCAGAACCATTTCCTCTTTCAAAAGTTTACACCTTGGGCATCTGTTGTGGCATAGAAGGCAAAGCCACTACGTGCAGTGTTGACATCCCTTAGGAGCACTGTTTGTGCCCTGGCTGCTCCACTTCTAATTTTCTTCTCTGCTAGTGGCCCGGGAAAAGGAGCAGCAGATGAGTCACGTGCTCGAGCAAGTTAAACTTCAACCTTTGGTGCCAGCATCCTGTATGGGTTCCTGTTACCATATGGGTACCAGTTTGAGTCCTGGCCACTCCATTTCCTGTCTAGCTCCCTGTTAGTGCCCTGGGAAAGCAGCAGATGATGCCCGAAGTGCTTGGACCCCTACACCCATGTGAGAGATATGGATGAAGCTCCTGGCTCGTGATTTCAGACCAGCCCAGACCAGCCAATTGGAGAGTGCACCAGTAGATAGATGATCTCTCCTCTGTCTCCCATCTCTGCTGTAACTCTACCTTTCACGTTACAAAATAACAAAACGAAAAACCTAGATCTTCATAAAAAGAAAAGAAATTCCTCATTTAATTCACTTGTGAGAAATAAGTAAAACCTTAGCACACATCCATGTCTCTGATGCCTTTAGTGTTACTGCAGTGTTAAAGGAAACAGGTCCCAAGGAAGGTGTCCCACACTGATGAACAAGCTTGTGAGTCATCAAAGTCCTCATCGGTTGCCTGCTTCACCTTTGGGAACATGAAGGTCTGAGATGTCCTTAATCAGCTGCAAATATAAGAGGAGCATTTCACTGCCCAATTTGTGATGCTCCCTGGGCCTCACTCTCTGGCTCACCTGCGTGCACGCCTTGTCTCTTTCAGATGATTTCAGTAGAAAGAGTGGTGGAATACACAGACCTGGAGAAGGAGGCACCTTGGGAGTCCCAGAAACGCCCACCGCCAGCCTGGCCCCAGGAGGGGGTGATCATCTTTGATAACGTGAACTTCACGTACAGTCTGGATGGGCCCCTGGTGCTGAAGCACCTGACGGCACTCATTAAAGCCAGAGAAAAGGTACGTTGGAATGTGTTCCTTTCAAGTCCCCGCTAAGATCTAGTCCTGTGCCTGCTTGCTCGGCCTCCTTGTGGATGTGTCAAGGGGCCGTGTGTTGCTCTGCAGATGCAGATTACATCAGAAATGATCCTTCCTTGGGAACTCACCCTGGAATGGGGAAAGCACCCTACTCTATATGCCTTGAGCAGCTGCGTGCCACCTGGCGGGTGCCAGGCCCTGCCAGGCTCCTGTGCAGGGCTCCAGGGCACAGACTCAGCCTGCCCCAGGACTCCGTAGCTGTCGTCTGATCACTCAGGTCAGCGCTTGGGATGGGAGCACTGGCCCTGCGGCAGGCTCCCATTGCTGCAGCCTGGCTTCCTTTCCTTCCTGCCCCTTTTGAAAGTCGTCCTCATCTTTCTGTAACCCGTGCTTGACTTTGGCTTCCCTGCCTTCTCGCCGTGGACTTTCTGAAACACACATGTTCCTCTGTTGGCTCCTGGCCTGGGCCAGCTACCAGAGTGAGGCCTCGGGTTCATACGAGCAGGAGCAGTGTGTGTAATTTGTCGTGGCCAGGAGCGACTATAACCCCATCAGGCCCCATGCTCAGAGAAAAAGAGATTAGGATGAAGGGAGTATTGTGGACACTGTGCCAGCAGTGTCTGTTTCACACTAATCTGGGGCTGTTGACTAGGACTAAAGCAGACGGAGCCCAGCAGTAGGAAGTTTTTCCCACCTGCTGCTCCAGCGTCAGCCCTGGGCCCTCATGCCCTTCCCCACTGAGGGGGCAACCAGTCCCAGTGCCGCTGTGCCCTGGCCAGCCTCCCTCCCCCCATCTCAGGATCCTCCTTGCTGCCTTCTCTTTCATGGATAGCTTGACTATCTCTGCCTCTGAAAGACTCTTCTCCTGCATTGTCCTGTCGCTCCTGCCCCGGGTGGAAGCAGGGTCTGGCTGGATACACCAGGTGCCATGTTTGAGTACGGTGGGATATGGCCTGGCACCTGCTGCTGTAAGAATGAGCCTGAAGGATGTTGTGCTTAGTGAGATTGTCCACCCAGGGAAGGACCATACTGTGTTTCTGCTTGTTTGCAGTAGTAAGAATCAGTCAAGACAGGAATGGGATTTCTGGGTTCTGAGAGCAGGGAGGAACAAGGAATTTTGCCATGGACGTGGCTTTGTGCTACAAAATTAGGATGCTGGAGAGAGAAGGTGGTGATGATGATGGCACGGAAATGAGGACGTGTCTAAAGCCTCTGACCATAATAGGTTTAATAGATTTGGTGCCACTGAGATCATAGATTTTATGTTTTCCACACAGCTTAAAAATTGTATAAAGTGTATTTTATGCATTTGACCCCAATTTTAGAGAAAGCACTGTGGCATGATTTGGCAACTCCCAGTTGGCTGCAGTTTCTTCGGGTTTGAGGACATTTCATATTCATCTCTGTTCCCTGGAGTGTGGTCTGCTCGGACAGGCACCTGGTGGGTGCTGAGGGTGCACTGACTGGGAGGTGAGGCGCAGGGAGGGTTAGCACGTGGTGCCCTGGTGACAGAAAGGTGTAGCTGCACAGCTGGATGCCCAGTTGCTATGCAGAGGACCTCTCAGGCTGGCTGCTAGTTATGCCCCCAGGCTGCTTGCCCTTCTGAAGATGGAGACGACAATTGTGCAAGCACAACCACGTGGCAGCTCTTGAAAGCAGAACTTTGACACAGTTTCACAGCACCACACGGGACACATGCTCCCTCATATATAAATGCGGTTGTTGCTCTTCCTTTATAAACGGAAATCTGTTCATTTGCACAAGTCTTAAATTCCCCTCTAAGCTCGAAAATTTGAATCATCTGAGAAGTATCCTCAGGGTTGTATTTCTCCATCTTAACCACCCCCTTCCAAATCATGAGATTATGTGAGATTCTCAAGTGGGTGAGGATAAATTGGATTTGAAGATGGAATTCTAATATCTGTGGGAACTTGACTTGGGATTTCTTGTGTCGGTTCTTTCGGGATTCATGTTAGCTCCAGAGTCGCGAGGTGGTCCCGCCGTGTGGATGTGTTTAGCTTTCTCTCCAACCCCTGTCCCAGCCCTGCCGTTGCAGGCCACCCCTTTGGGGTGGGTTCAACTGAGAGAGGCACGGTGGCAGGCTAGGACACAGGGTATGTCCCTGCACAGCACCAAAGACTTTTGTTTTCAATCTTTTCCTCTGCCCTGACTGCTGGAAGTTAAACAGGAAAATGTAATCAGTACTAAACAGGTGTCTAATTCATAGCAAAAAAAAAAAAAATGCAAGTAAAAATAAAGAATAAAATGAGGTCAATGACACCCCAGGCTTCCCAGTTAGATTTTCAACACTGGCTGCATTTTTCATTTAGATGATTTTGTGGTTGATTTGATCATTTTAGAGAGTACTGGGCCATTTTAAAGCTTCTTCCAGCTCTAGGGGTAATTGATTTGGGTTTGTTATTTTTTCCTTGCTCAGAGCTATTACTCAGATAATACATTTTTACAGATGTGTACTAGACCTTGCTATAATGTGCAAAAATATTAGTTTCTTGCGTTTTCTCCTTTTTTGCATAATGTTTTCTCAGAAAGCCCTCCTTTTATGCCTCTCAAGTTGCCCCCATTTCATGGCCCACTCTCTGTCTAATCCTGGCTTCTTGGACGGTGGTGCTGGTATCAGCCACTTCTGCATCTCCTAGGAACTTGCTAGAAATTCTGACTCAGGAACCCAGCCCCTCACCAAGACATGCTGAATCCCAGAATCGTATCTCCCACCCCGGGGAAGACCTGCCTCTCCCATAAGCAGCGTTGGATACCTGAAAACTCATAACTTCTAAGGAACTTCCTTTGACAACTGGACGCTAACCTAAGGCGTTTCCCCATTCCCTCTTGGAACTGCAACACCTGGGAGTTGTGGGCCGCTTGCTGCCTTGCTGCTTCCATGTTCTGCGAGTCACAAGTTCACCTTACAGTTTCTTTGTGCTGAGGTCGTGTGTGTCTTTGCTTCTTTCTGGCAGTTTTCATCCTGCCATCCAGCTGTCTGTCCACACAGCGTTCTAGGCCTCTGGAGCAGCCCAGGCACAGTGAAGTCTCGGAGTTCCTCGTGTTACCTGCTGGCCCACACGGGCCCCCAGGCTTGTCTGTTTTGCTGGTGCCTTTGCCCTCATAGCTGTGAGTTTTTCTCCCAGCCTTTGGTGTGGACTGTCAGCAGTCATGAGCCACCCACTCATCTCTGCTCAGAGATGTCAGCTCTTGTTCCCCCACCGTGTTCATCTGTGCCTGGCCATAAGTTCTGAATGGGACTAATTTCTTCTCTCTGAGCTGCCTGTCTCTGCTGTCTCCCTTCTAACTGGACAAAGAAAACCTGCCTAGCCACACACATGAGAGGCAGACCCTCAGAAACGTGGGGAAAAGAGAGACAGACCTGGGTGTGGTCCATTATTTTAGACAAGTTCATCAGTCTTACTGAGCCTTGAATTTTCTCTTTTGGCAAAAAAAAAAAAAAAAAAAAAAAAAAAAAGAACAGTAGGACCCACCCTCTGTAAACTGTTGTGTAACCTGAACAAAATAAGATGTGGAAAAGAAATAACACAGGGACCAACACAAAGCAAATGCTTGATCAAAGATAACTGTCATTGTCCTAGGGTGTAAAATGAACCTCACCACTTTGCATGCATAAACTGTATTCTGTCTCATGAAGATGAGAGATTGGCCATTTACTATCTGATTTCTGGTTATCAGATTCATGTGCCTATGTCTGTTTTTCTCTGTCCAATTTTTTTGTAACAACTTGAACAATATGGAAATAGATTTTCCACAGGTCTCAATCCTATTTTACTCAGCTGTCTGCAAAATTCCTTTTTTTTTTTTTTGCAATGAACACATCACAGAAAAAGCAAATAATGCAAAGGTGAATCTGACATAGATCCTGCCCTGAGTTCATAGAATCCAGTGAAGACACAAATATGTACATGGCTTCATGTGACTGGAGGTCAGGGATTTTTATGGATGTTTTAGGCAAAGGGTGATAGGCACTATAAGGGGTGGGAAAAGTGGAGCATTTTTGTGGAAGAAAGACCTGCAAATTAACTTGCAAACGTGTGGCTAGGAATTCAGCAGGTGGAAACGCATGTAAAAGGCATTCAGCTAGAGGCACAGACCTGAGCGTGGGTATGGTGTTGGGATTTGAAGAAATGGAGTTAGATACTAGGAGGACCCATGCTTCCTGGCTGCTGCTAAGGAAATTACCTCATTGGAAACTAAAAGTGTCATTAAGTCAGCTGGCACCCAGAACAGTCTTGCACAGCAGCAGAGAGCACTCAACATCAGTCCTTTCCCGCTTCTGACAGTGGGCTGGTGGAGGGCTTTGACCGTGACTCTGGGCCAGAAACTGCAAGAGAGACAATTGGATCATCTTCTCTAGCCCTGGGAAAGATCCAGACCAAAACCAAAGTACGGGGTTGGCATAGGGCTGTAATGGGCTAAGACAAAGCTAGGGACACGTACCTCTAATTTCAGAGTGTCAAGACCAAGTGCTTCAGATCCAACTTCCTGCTAATAAACCTTGTGGAGCAGCAGATGGTGGAATCCAGTGCTTGAGCCCCCTGCCATGTGCACCTGCATTTGGCTGGCCCAGCTTTGGCTATTCTGTGAACCAGCAGATGGAAGATTCTTGCTTGCTCTTGTTTTACCTTTCAAGTAGCTGAAAATAAATAAATAAAACTTTTTTTTTAGATTTATTTTTATTATTTTTTTATTGGAAAGGCGGATATACAGAGAGGAGAGTTAGAGAGGAAGATCTTCCGTCCGATGATTCACTCCCCAAGTGAGCGCAACAGCCGATACTATGCCGATCCAAAGCCAGGAGCCTCTTCCAGGTCTCCCACGCGGGTGCAGGGTCCCAAAGCTTTGGGCTGTCCTCGACTGCCTTCCCAGGCCACAGGCAGGGAGCTGGATGGGAAGCAGGGCTGCTGGGATTAGAACCAGCGCCCATGTGGGATCCCAGGCGTGCGTGCAAGGCGAGGACCTTAACCACTTGCGCCACCGCGCCGGGCCCAATAAAACTTTTTTAAAAAAATTGTAAATACGGAGTCTACTGAATTGTTGCCCTAAAATCTTTCTTTATGTGGAATAAAGTCCTAAGCTGAACCATTGAATTTTTCTTTAAAGGTTTATTTCTTTTTCTTGGAAAGGCAGATTTACAGAGAGAAGTGGAGAGGAAGAAAAAAGAAACAATCTTGTATCCACTGGTTCACTCCCCGAGTGGCTGCAATGGCTGGATCTGAGCCAATCTAAAGGCAGAAACCAGGAGCTTCTTCTGAGTCTCCCCCATGGGTGTGGGGTCCAAGGACCAAGGAACCATCCTCCCAAGGACCATCCTCCTCTGCTCTTTCAGGCCACAAACGGGGAGCTGGGAGGGAAGTGGTACAGCCAGACATGAACTGGCACCCATGTGGAATCCTGGCACATGCAAGCTGAGGATTTAGCCACTGAGCTATTTGCACTGGGCCCTGAACTATTGGATATTGAGGCCTTCTGTGTACAGGCTGGCGTGACATACCAGGTGTAGGGAACAGCATTTTCATGTTTTGCTCTCACAACCACCTGACAAGAGGCAGATTCAGGAGCACAGGAGGGAAGGGCAACGGGAGAGCCTGAGCGGAGGTTTCGCAGTGGGCAGCACCAGGCTGAGGTTTCCTATGAAGGTTGAATTGGAGGAGTAAGGGGAACAAGAGGGAGTGGGCAGCAGAGCAGTGGCTGCTGTGTCCTCTGAGTAGGATGGGAAGGGCAGTTCGCTGCTTTCTGGAATCAAATCAGTGTCATTGCAAACGAAGTCATAGCACTGAGGCTAGGCAAGTGCTCAAGAGAGGGCTGGGAGTGGAAATCAGCATTTTGTTTCTGGAGAGAGCACCTCACCTGGCTCCTTTGCAAGTATTCGTACCTGTTTCTGAGGATTTGTCACCAGCAATAAGTAAGACTGTTTGCAAAGGCTTAGAGCTTCAAGAATATTTACCATAATGTTGTTTATAACAGCACTCTATTGGAGACAGCCTAAATATCTACAAGTTGAGAGGTTGTTAAATACATTGTCTATATACTATATTAGTGGACATTAAATATTCTTTTTATGAAATAGTAAATGAGAACATTTCGAAAGTATCTTATAAATTCATCTGATTTTCTTTCATTAGTTGAGTTTCTGTCTTCAGGAAGACTTGCGTGTGCGTGAACACACTCAGGCACATCCAAAAAAAATGCATCCTCATATGAAGAGGGAATCTATTTGAGCTCTAGGGTTCTAGCCAGTATTAACTCACATTGCAGGTTCATTGGCACCGATAATAAGTTGATCAAAATTCATTTGTTCTTTAAAAACATCTATGCAGCCTTACACTGAGATGGTGGCTACAGGAATCAAAATAAGTGGATTGAGGTAAGAAACAGCCAAAGAACACTCGGGACTTGGCTCAGGCTGTAACTGAAGAAGGCGAGAGGAAGGGGGGCTGGGTGAGACGTGAACCTGGCAAAGAGTTTCTGAAGTTCACTGGAGAAGTCCAGTGCAGCAGTGGCTTCGAGCAGGGCAGGGAGGAATAGAGGACATGCTGAGTTCGTCGGGTGAAGAGAGGCCCAAGTGCAGTGTCTTTACATGTTGATGTCACCAGGGACCTCCCTGGTCTGAAAAATGGGGACAATGGCAAAACAGCTAGAAGGAGACCATCTCAACATTTCTCTTTGATGTAATGAGTATAATTGTATTGCTGTTGGTGATTTGGTAAAAATCCAGTAGTGACTTGAGCAAGACTTGCAAACTGGGGTCTGATGGCTAAATGGTAGAGAAAAACCAACAGAGCAAGAAACTTTTTTTTAATCTCTGTTTGAGCATGGAGCTCCTGGTGCTGAGATCCTAGATGGTTCTCAGATCACTGCTTCTCGGGGCTACCTCCCAGGGTTGTCTGCATGTCCGGGTCTGTACAGGTGGTTCAGGTGCTCACAGAGCTCATGGCAACTGGCTGTCCACACATCTTACAGCATGACATTTACCTGCCTTGATTTGCAAGTGAGAGCACCCAGAGGGCCATCCCATTAGAGCACCTGTTTGCGTGCTAGCTGCTCCCCCTCCAACCCAGCATCTTGCTAGTGGGAAAGCAGCAGCCAACGATCCAAATATTTGGGTCCCTGCCACCAACATGGGAGACCCAAATGGATTTCCAGGCCTCTAGCTTTGGCCTGCAGTGCTAGAAATTGTGGCTATTTGGGGAGTAAACAGCATATGGAAGCTCTCTGTCTCTCCTTCTGACTCTGTAACTTTGCCTTTCAAATAAAATAAATCTTGGAAATATAGAGTGATGTGCAACTATACACATAAGCCACTTACAAAAGGTAGAAATGGCTCCAAAGAGTAAAAGCTTAGATCAAGCTACTTTTTTTCACTTTTAATCTATGAATTCTCTTTTGAAATGCCATTATTGATCGTACAGGTTGAGTTTTCAAAGTGTTTAAGTATTCTAGTGGATTAATTTGTACAATTCCCAGCCTGTACTCAGCAGGCAGTGAAGTTCACTTTGTCTCAGTTTACAGCTGTGAGATGTAGATGTTTACTGAGTTGGTTTCGAATGATTGCAAATGTGCCTTGTGCCCTCTGCTGATGCCTGACTTGCAAATAAAAACAATGTCCCTCAGGATTGGAGATGCCCACTCGGCAGTTCACAGATGGGCAAGCGCCTGGGTTAAAAGGCCAGTTTCTGCCAGCAGTTTTTACTGCATGGTCGCATCCCTGACCGGCATTTTACCTGCGTTATAGTGACACTTTGATCTCATTGTCAGTGCACTTCATTTCTCTGTTTTGGCTTTCATAAGAGGAAGGATATTCAATATAAACCTTTCCCAGGAGGCGATTGGATGTATTAATTAGCTCACAAAATACCTTTTGAACTGCTCAGATGAAAGACCCCATGTAATAGCAGATGTTATTGTGTTGTTGATTTCATTATGCATGTTTCAATGAAAGACAGAAACTGAAACCTGTATTTTCTAATGTTAAGGTGTCTGCTTTGGAGAGAAGACAGCACTGAGTATTTAATATCCAGAAATGATTTGGTTTCTTTAGCAAAGGATTATTTGTCTTGAATGGCAGCATGCTGGGAAAATGAATCCTTGCTTGTGTTAACACTTCTGACTTGAGATGTCACCATCTCTCGATTACCCAACAAAGTCTCAAGGTTCAAGATGCTCAGTGCCAGGGTCAGCGTTGTGGTGCCATGGATTAGACCGCTGTCTGCAACTCCAGCAGCCCTTACATCCTGGCTGCTCTGCTTCTGATCCAGCACCGTGCTGATGTGCCTGGAAGAGCAGCAGCAGATGACCGAGTGCTTGTGCTCTGCAACCCATGGCAGAGATCTGAGTGGAATCCCAGGCTCCTGGCCTCGGCCTAGTCCAACTCTGGCCTCTTGTGACCATTTCGGGAATAAACCAGTGGATAAAAGATCTCTCTGTCTCTTTCTTTAACTCTCAAATAATTTTTTTAATGCCCAGATTCCAGAAGTACAGCTCATCTTTAAATCAGCTTCTTTTGTCATTCCCTTTCCATTGCCACAAGACAGATTGTTCATTTTAACTCTTGTTTCTTCATTGAATCTCAGCTGAGGCAGTTTTTGCTCCCCATTAGACATTACCAGTGCCTGACATGGCTGCATGTCACGTTTTGTTGTTGGTGGTAAGGGGGTATTCCTGGCATCTAATATCAGTTTACCAGTTAATAGATTCTGGTAAACATCCCACTTTGGGCAGAGTTGTCAGCCCCAAACATCAGCGGTGCTGAAGCTGAGCACTCCTTGCTTCATCTCCAAGACCAGAGTTTTCTCCTAGCTGTGTTGCCTGTTGCTTTGTTGTTCTTAATCCCTCCTCCTGGATCTCTTTGTAGGTTGGCATTGTGGGAAGAACAGGAGCTGGAAAAAGTTCCCTCATCTCAGCCCTTTTCAGATTGTCAGAACCTGAAGGTAAAATTTGGATCGATAAGATCTTGACAACTGAAATTGGACTTCACGATTTAAGGAAGAAAATGTCCATCATACCTCAGGTAGGCAAGTCGGAGCGTTCTCACTGTGCCTTTTATAAGGGCACCGAAGTTTAATTGCCTTTAATTTTATTGCTTTTTTTTTAATTGGAGGAAAGGATTGATCTTTCTCCCTACCATAGCAAGTAGCTTCAAGAGGGATTAGCATGAGATACCTGGGCTGATTTTCCTGTTCATTTGGTGTTGCGGGTGTAAGTTAGAAAAAAAGACAGAGATATTTAACTAATTGGTGATTTCAGCCAAGGAGGTGGTACAGGATGGAGAGGAAGGACATGGGAAGGCACTTCCGGTCGCCTGTATAGCTGCCCCTGGGAGCTGTTGTGAGCACTGAGCCTGTCTCTATGGAGTGAATTCTCAGCTGCTCTCCTGCCCCTCCTCTGCCTGGGCTGCAGTGCCGTTTTCTCTTGTTCTGCTTCTTCCCAGCAGTGAGGTTGGATTCTGTGCAGCACAGATGCTGTAGTCACAGGAAGTATTCACTGGGTAGTTCTCCAGGTACATGGCCCTGGGCAGTGGACTTTGTCCCCACAGGCCTGGGGCCTGCAGCTGCGGGGCCTCCCTACCCCTGCCCTGTGCTTTGACGCTTCTGTGCATTCAACTCCAGACTTGCTGCTGTTGGGAGTTTCTGATTTGGGGTTTTTTACACTCTGCTGTGATCTGGCCATCAAAGGAGCTGAGGAACACACACACACACACACACACACACACATACACACTCCCTCTCAAGATGAGGGCTACAGAGAAAAAATGCCAGGTAAGCAGGCTCCCTGGCAAGGGAGTGTAGAGTGTTTAGCTGCTTGTTTGCTTGGAAGCATAGAGAACATGACCCTCCAAGAGAAGGAATATGAGGCTTCTACTTTATAACCTGGGGCAGCTATTCCTACCCACCACCAGCCGTGAGAAAATTAGGGTTGCCATCATTGATTGTGAGGTCAAGATAACTGAACCACAGTGGGAAACAACTACCTATTCATTAGGATGAGTAATATAAAGACAAAAAAAAAAAAGCAGAATATACTAAGTGTTGATGAGAACATGGAGAAATTAGAACCCATATGCTCTGTTAGTGGAGTGTAAAATGTTGCAGCTACTGTGGATAATAAAAGGAATGTTCCTCAAAGCATTAAAGGTGAAATTACCAAATAATCCAGCAGTTCCTGTTCTGAGTGATACCCAAAAAAGATGGAAAGCAGGGTCTCAAGGAGATAGTTTAATAACTTTGTGCATAGCAGTTCATAACATATTGAGCCATAATAACTCAAATGTATATCCACAGGATAAAGGTCTAAATAAAATGTACTATGTCCATAAAGTGGACTATCTCTGGATCTTCAAAATGAAGGAAATTCTCAGACTCATTACAGCACAGATGAACCTTGAAGGCATCATGCCAAATGCAGCAGGACAGTAACAAAAGGACAAGGACTGGGTGATTCTGCTAATGACGTGGCACCCGAGGTAGTGACGTTTCTGGAGACAGAAAGAACGATGACCGCCAGCAGCTGAGAGAAGGGGGAGCATGGATGTGCATTGTTTGCTGATGCAGAGGGGAGTGAGCTGCCGAATGCTGAGACATTGAACCGTACACTTTAAACTGTTTAGGGTGGGAAATGCCACACTCCATGTTGTATAGCCTATCAGAAAAAAAAAAAGGTAATTTTCAGTAGTTAAGGGTCCTTCTGGCCACGAGAAGCAGGACTTGGTGGCTGTGGTAGGAAAGGACCACTTAACTTCCACTTATATTTGGGTTGTCCCCATCCCAGAAATAGGCCAAATCCAAGTCACTTTGCAGAGATGATGGGCGTGTCTGTAAAGTGCTTTCATATCCCTGGATGAAAGGATGGAGAAACATGCCCTGTGTTAGTTTTAATGCTTCTTAATAAGAAGTGGTTCTATGCTTGCATACATGAAAGAACTCTAAATAAAGAAGTAGCGTTAGATGATTCTTGGCTCCGCCGGAGCTGTTTTGGAAGCACATCTGAGCAAAAACTAAGCACACCTTGACATCACCAGCTTTTGGTTCCGTTCCATGGGTTTCCACCCTGCTTTGGAGCAGACGCTCTGTGTATGCACTGTAGAGAGTGCTTACAAAACAGCACTGAGCTTCGTATCCGTGTACATCATGATCGCCAAGCATTGTAAACACAAAACCTTTATTCTCCAGCTGTGTGTGCCTTTGTCTCCAAGGCACCACGTTGGGTAGTAAAAGGCGAAGTCTGGAGTGGATGCAGACAGGGAAGCCATGAACATCCCAGGTGGGACCACTTTCACAGCCAGCACTGAGTGTCCACAAGACCACGTTTGATGTCCCCTCTGCCTCCTATGAAGGTACAAGCTTGATGAAGTTACTGCAGGCTCCGCTGTCCCTCCTCATACCAAGTTTGGTAAATGCCGTGCCGATTTACCTGGACAAGAAAATGGCCTGGTGCCTAATTCTTGGAATTGTTCAGTAAACAGCATCTGTTATTAAGAGTTGGGGTAGGGACCTTCTGATAACACCTCCTGGAAGGAGTTGGCTTGCTCATTTCTGTTTATATTTTCGTGATCTTCGGTGGTTTTCTTCAAACAAAGTTGTTTATATACGTTATGTGAAGTGGCAAAAAAGAAAAGAAACAAGAGGCACTCAATAGATTTAAAGAAAAAAAAAAACTCAGGCCCAATTTGTGACTTTCTCACAAGAAGCAGGAGGTGAGACGTGACTTTTGTTTTGTGTTTTCTGCCTTTATCCCGCCCAGTCCTCCCAGCTTTGCAACCCAGTGCCCTCCACCCCGTGAATACTTGGCAGGCCCCACGGAGAGCACTGACATTTTTCTCCTGCCTGCCAGCATTCCTTACTATTTTTTGCCAGTCCTGGAGGACCACGCCGTTTCTCTCATTTTCATGGCTCCAGTGGAGTCCCTGACAAGTGACACAAGCAGTAATCAATTCCGAACATTTGCTTTCGCTTTCTTTCACTCAGACCTCTCACGGAGTCCCCACCACAGCTCTTTTGTCTTCCTCATGGAACAGATTTGGAAACTGAGTCCCCCGGAGCTTCGCCGACTTAACAAGTCAGCAAGCAGAGCATAAACTCGGGCTGGATGTAAGAGAGACCCTTGGTTCCTGCTGGACACTCTCTTAGACTGTAAAACAGCATCCGCCGTAGGAGATCTGCCCTAAGACCCATGGGGGCATGGCTGGAAGCATGCACGCGTACACACACACACACACACGCACGTGGAAACAGATACTTCACAAAACAGTGTGACTGTTCCCTGCACTCTGATATTTTCTATTATAGCCATTCTATTCTACTTCATATAAAGACAAAATGATGGTCACGAGCCACAGAATTGATTTCATGATCCATTGGTTGCACCTGCACGTTGAAAGATAGCGTGCCTTTCTGTCCTCCTGGCTTGGTGGGCCTCCTGCTGCCTGTCACCCCCATGCCAGAAAACTGGTTTGTCATTGATTCTCACATCAGCCCCTACAAGGTGCACGGCGTGAGCCCTGCGGTCCAGGACGGAAGCTGGGAGTCAGGCCGATCCACCACTTCTCTAAAAGGAAACAGCCGACAGCAGCAGAGTCAGAACTCGGGACTGGCGGACTCCAAATCTGATTGGGTTTTCTTCTGTGGACGTTGATTGAACAGAAAGTCTCATCCTTCCTTCTACCTGCTGTTCCTGTCTGCCACTCTAAGACAGAATTGTCGCGACGTAACAGAGGAGAACAAGCACAGAGCGAAGTTGAAAGATGACTTCTCTGGCAGCTTTGTCTAGTCTGCACAGTTAGGTGGTTGAAAGACAAGAATTGTTTATGATTATTTGCCAGAAAAAAAAAATCAACCCTTGGCATGAAAAGAAAATTATTTTTGAAGCAGGGATTTGCTCGTGTCTGTGTCACAGGTTCATGAGCGTCAGGACAACCCGGGCCGTGCTTTGCCTGGTTGCAGTCTTTCTTCACCTGCCGGCTGCAGAGGGGGCGAAAGCCTCTGGATCGGGAGACTTGACCTGACTTGAAGGCTCCTGGCTGCACTGCAGGAATCACAAATCTCTGTCACCCCGGGAGTGGGGAGTAGTGCCTTTTGTGTCCCAAGTTTCCTGATTTAGGGAGCCTACCCTGTTGGGAGGGAACTCCGCCACAGGGGCATGGCGCAGCCCTTCCCTAGTGAATAGGGTTCGACCCCTTGACTGATGGCACAGGATCCTTTGTCACTGATGAGCCCACAAAGAGCAATGCAGATTTAGGGCTCAGTGACCTGGTTCCAGGCATGTGAGGTGGTGACTTACACACTCACCACCAGTCTTTGAAGGCCTGTTTCAGAACAACTTCTCTCTCCATTAAGAGTGGACTCCTGGGTCTGGCGCAGTAGCCTAGTGGTTAAAGTCCCCCCCCCCCCGCCCCGCTTTTGAATGTTCCAGACTTTGTACCCACATGGGAGACCCAGAAGAAGCTCCTGGCTCCTGGATTCTGATTGGGTCAGCTCTGGCTGTTGTGGCTAATTGGGGAGTGAATCAATGGACAGAAGATCTTCCTTTCTGTTTCTCCTCTCTGTATATCTGACTATCCAATAAAAATAAATAAATCTTTTTTAAAAACTGGATTCCTGATGTCACATTCAAAGTGTTAGGAGTAATCCAACGGTGGAAACGCTTCCCAACTCATTTCCTTAAGCAAGATGGGAAGCTGTGCCCAACAGTGGCTAAATGTGCTGTGTAAGGGGAGCCTGTAGAGTGAGGCTGCCTTCAGGGTCTGGCATTCTTATCACTAAGATCGGGCAAAATGGATTTCAAAATTGTCTTTGGATTTTTTTTTTCTCACAGAGCCCCTATCCTGTTTGGCACAAAGCAAATGCTTTCAATTGAAGAGTAATTCCATACAAAGTCAACATTTATGATAGCACCTTAAGGGTTGGCACACATCAACAGCTGTAATCTTTATCATGATTAAACAGATGCCTTTTTATGTATTTAATAGATCAGAGCCAAGCAGTGTTTCTTAAACAGTCCTCTCTAGTTCTTGGTGTTTCTGCTCTGCGAGTGCTCTCCCTTCAGTAGGTTGCAAAGGTTAACTAGAGCTGTGTCTCGTTAAGCCTTCTTCTTTTATTATTACCTGATTTTTTTTTTTCTTTTTGAGTGCAAAACTCAAAGAGCAAAAGAGATGGGTATGCTGTTACCAGTAAAAAAAAAAAAGAAAATACAATTGGATCCGAGCCTGCTGCAGTGGCAGCTTTGTTTCTGCACACTGAAGTCTTCATTAAACCCCTGGAACTGCCCCCCTGGAGCTGGTGACCTTTTTGTATCTAAAGAAGACTTTACACGACTTAAATTCTTCTTCCTTTGTTGGAGAACAATGTGCTTTTCTTCTGAAAATAGAAGACGATCGGTTCATTCAGAGGCTACGGATTTATAAAGGAAAAAAAGGAGAGGACCTGAGATTGAAAGTGACTTCAGGTGATCCCCTCCTGGAGCCTGGGAGATGAGTTGCCCCTGAAGAACCCTGGGCTGCACGTGGGAAGGTAGCTTTGAGGCCACCAGGCGAACTTCAGGGCTAGCCCCTGGGTTTTAGTTCACAGAAGTGTTCTGGCTAGGGACCCAAAAACAGGTTAGGGGACAGTGAAGTGTTGTGCTGTCTCCTGGTGGTTTGTAACTACCTGGGTATTTTCTTTTTTTGTCTTGGCCCCAGATCGTCTTCAGTGTCTGGGTAGAGTTTCTTGAGATAATGAGAGGCTTGTCTTCCTTTGTATCCTGCCATGGATACAAAGGGGCTGGTAGGACGAGTTTTCAGTCTTGCAGTTGTATGCAGGGATTATCCGTTTACTGCGTTAAATGCTTTGATTCTGTGTGGCCATTTTTGGGTCACATGCCTTGTACGAACTTGTGTTAGATTAGTAACAGGATGAAGTGACTACTGAGCATGACTCCGGAGATTAAAAAAATAATAATGATAATGATAAGTACAAACTTTCCATTGTATTGAAAAGCAAGTGTGCTACTGATGTGTTCTGTTTACCATATTTTAACGAAAAAGAGCATTTGTTTTCCTGGTCATAATGTGCCAGCTGACTGGAATTTAAATCTTTAAAAAAAATAAAGTTTAAGCATGAATGAATGAATTACACTTAGGCTTACACATGTTGTCTACATTAATATGATCTGTCAAGGTTGTATTCTTCCCAGAAACCCGTGCACTGAAATATTCTGGCGGCAAACATTTTTACAACACTTCTTTATGAGTTTAGTTTATTAACATCATTGCATGGAGATGGGTTCTTTAAATAATAATATCTATTAGAAATGATAATTAACTTGACCTTTACCTGCTCTTCAGGTATATGTCTACATGAGCACTTCACTATCTTTTGAAGGTAGTAGAGTGATTTCTTATTTGGCAAATGGACAGAAGTAGATTGAGTGGAAGCCAGAATGAACAGTGTGCATAAAATACACTGACTCTTGAAACCAGACATTGTTAACAAATTGCATGCTGATTTTAAAGAAAAATATAGCCTCGGTCAGTTAATGTTGCATTAAATCAGTCCTTTCATTCAACAAGTTTTGATTGAAATTTTCCTCCTTATTAAGTGATATTATTTGGCATGTCACAACAAGGAAAAAATCATCTTGTTCACTATATTATGTTCTTCCATCTGGTATTGCAAAATAAACATGAGTAATTGCCCAATATTTCCCCATGAGTTGACAGGATAGATTTAATTGAGGTCCCTTTCAGCAGGGGGAAATGCTTACACTCAACTTTTGTCCCGTTTTCATCAGTCAGCAGTGAGTGATAATGACAGAACCCTGTTCGGATCTGTGGAGTAAGGGTCCCAGGCGGTGTGCAGAGCTCCTGTAAGCAGCTGCAGGTGTTGCACAAGCCCCCGCTGAGAAACCTGAGCCGTAGCGCAATGGGCTGCGATTGTGACCACCCCAAACATAAGCTGCAGTTCTTCATCAATGTTTAGGTGTCATCCCTCTGAAACCCATGTGGCTGCTGCCCACAGTTGAGAGCCCTGCTGAGGAGGTGGGTGCAGCCTCCCTCACCTGGCCACTTCATTTCTGTAAACTTCATCTAGGCAATGAAGGAGGAATCACTTAGCATGTTGGCATCTTAGAGGTGGTCATTGCAGTAACAGAAGTGTAAGTAGAGTGATGGTTACACTCCTGCCAAGAAATTTCTCGGTTGCTTATGTTCGTCTTAGACCTTAAATTCAGTCGTTTTAAGGGAGACTTTAAATCTAGCTTTTGGAATTTTTTCCGTGCAACCCGATGATCATCCTATAATTTTGTATAAACAGTGATGTTTGTTGTTAACCCTTTAAGAAGGTCATTGGTGATTTCATCAATTTTGTACAGTTTTTTCAATGGGGAATTGTCCTATGGGCTACACAACTTTTGGTGGCACACCCTTTGCCTTACCCAGCTGTTTTCCCCTCACCCGTCTTAACTCTGAGGCACTAGGGACGAGTATCAGCATCTTGCTGAGTGCAGAATTCATGGCTGGAGAGAAGAAATAGCTGCCTCCTCAACTTCTCTCTTGGGCTTTTGAGAAGTCGGAGGGGAAGAGTCCAGCTCTGTGGCCAGATGAGGTTTAAGGCTCATGGCTCTCGTGAGCAGTTCTGCAGTACCCAGAGAGCAGCCACTGGGGTGTTGCCTTGTCAGACTGGGGCTGTGTACTCTGTCTGGTTCTTCGATAGAAGCACATTGGGCTTGTGGCCTGCGATACTGGAGTCCAGGAGTAATCTGAACGAAGCTAATATCAGTTTCTGTACAAGATGTTGGTCTTGAAATCCAGAAAGAGGCATGCATTTCGAGAGCAAGGTAGCTCCTGAACTACACGCATTAGAAGAGCTAATTAAATAGAAATAGTTCTATTCCATGCCTTGCTTCGCAATGAGTTTCAGATTACCCTACCCTTTGAGTTATTCTTTAGGTTCTGACCGCCTGGTGCAGAATCTGAAGCCGTGGCTGCGTGAACAAATGTCCTCCTGAGCCGAATGCCCCGTCGGGACATGTGGAAAGATTCCCAGTCAGCTTCAGCACAAATATGAAAATATTTTATCATTTTTGTTTGGAGGCACAAATTTCATCACGCTGCTGGTGAACTCCCAGCATACGGCTCATTTTTAGGGTTCTTGGTATGTGAAGGCCCTCAATAATCACAGCCTATACTTCCTGTTGAGCTAGGAAAGCGTCTTTATTTCCTTTTTTAAGATGACCCGCTACCGCCATCTCTTTTGTTAGTGTTCTGTGGCCCGGAAGATGTTTTGGCGCATACTTGACATGATGGGAAAGTAATAGAGATGTTTTGTAAATAGGCATTTAACACCTAACCATCAGTGATTATGGTAAATTTGGGATTTTGTTGGGGATGCTTTTGTATTTTAATTTTATTCTGCAAGTTAGCCTTGGGATTAAAAAGAGGCTGTAGTAATGATACTGACTCTCTTGATGCATAGGAGCCTGTTTTATTCACTGGAACAATGAGGAAAAACCTGGATCCGTTTGGTGAGCACACAGACGAGGAGCTGTGGAATGCCCTTGAAGAGGTAATTTACCAAGCGCAATTATCCTTAATTTGTTAGCATCAGTGTATATGTGTGTGTGTTAACAGCATTGCTGGCAGTTAAGAGAAGCCTATTGGCTTAATTTTGTTCATCACCCAGGAGAACAGTGATAACATGGATAACACAAGAAATATCTCATATTCTCATTTTTAATTTCCAAATTGTAGTCCAAGGCAACTAGACATGCTATCTTACGTGTTGCGGGCAGAGCACTTAAAATACTCAGAGCTGTATAGATGGGTTGAAATTCTGCCCATGAGAAAAAGCCACTGGTGTGTTTGTTACCACTCCATTCTCAGGGAAAAACTAAGAAGGAGCCGGGACAGTTTTCCCTTGCTAACTGAATAAAAAATGAAATTGGACGTATAAAATGCTTTCTAATTTCCTAAGAGTTTATGAAGGCCAACAATATAGTTAGCACGTGATAATCATGACCGACTGGAAAAGTCATTTCAGTGCAGTGGAGTGAGCGCAGCTGACGGAAGCAGAGCCCGGCTGAAATCCTGTTCTGATCTGTCTGTTTCTGCATTGATTGCTCCTGGGGCTGCATTTTCAACTTCCTTTCCCTTGCATGAAAAGGATTTTGATTGTTAGGGTGCTGTTTGTGTGGGTCTTTTAATGCTAATTATTTTGCATCTCGAATGTCTGCAGATTGGTGCTAAACCTCTTGATGGTAGAAGCCATAATAACACGTAAGACCTAACTTGGTCTTTTTGTTTTTGAAAAGTAAGCATTAAATAAATATGTGCCGAATGGTTGATTTCTTCGTTTTGGAGATGTATGGCTTATTTCTTTAAAAAAATATATTATGAAGAAAAAGGCACAATCACACGTCAGTTCCTCACTGTTGTTTTTGGTGTTTGGAATGGATGCACTTTTCGTTGTCTCCCTCCTAGAGATAATTCCGCAATCTACGTTTTTAGATGGGTTTCCCGTGAGGCAGGCCCTGTGGAGACCCGACAGCCCCTGCCAGGAATTCATGTTTATAAGGCATGTTGATGCCAGGTCTTTACACACCTACCCTGCTTTCCAGCAACCATGGATTTTATTTTTCTTAAACGGGTCTTTTGCTTCCCTTCGTCCTGCTTGAAATTAGTGTATTTCTGACATAGTGAAGTTCTGACACGCCCTAAAAGAACTGGAGCTTCTGGAAAATTATTTTTCTCTCTTTGCTTCAGAACCTAGGTTTCTCTTCACGGATTGTCAGATAGTGAAATTACTTTAAGAGACACATTGTTCCGTACAGATGAAGCAGTGTTAATTAGGAGCCAGCCCTATCAAAATCCACCTTAGAATTTGGCTGTAACTTATTGGCAACTTCAGCAGCAGTAGCGAAAATTCCGTAACCTTTCAGAAACGATGAGACTGTACAAGTGGTCTTTTCCACTAAGGTCTATATTTATTAAGCCTGCATTTGGTGTTTTTCTGTAATTAGAAATAAACAGGGATGTGTTGCAGGCCTGCCTGTAACATGTAGTGAATGCTTTCGTAGCACGTGAAGTCTGTAGATTTGTCCAGGTTGTAGAGTTCCATGACCACAGGTTTGTAGAGGCTGGCTGTTTGTGGTATGTCAGGAGTCCATGGAACCTCAGAGCTTCCTTTGGTGAGATGAGGACTAACAGGGTGGGCAGTTTCTTTGGGTTAAGGCAACTGAGTCTTATATTGCGTTGCTTGTGTTTGAATCGTGGCTCTGCCTATGATTCCAGCTGCCTGGTAATGCACATCTGGAAAGCAGCAGGTGACGGTCTCAGGCTGTTGAATCCATGCTACCCATGTGGGAGACCAGGACTGGATTCCCAAGCCCCAGGTTTGGCCTAGCCTGCCTCTGCCTTTTGGGGTTTGAACCAGCAGCATCTGTCTGCCTCTGTGCCTCTGAAAGAAATACATCCTCTCACCCAAGAAAAATTTTAAGAACGGTATGACCTTGAGATTGCCAGTATGATGAGCTCTGTGCACACACACACACACACGTGTACATGTGTGATGCGGATGTGTTTTATCTGGAGAGCCCCAAGCAGAGAATATTCAAGTTTTCCTGAGTTTCTGTGTCAGTCTGTCTTCATGCCTTTCTTCCGTACAAGACAAGAGATCGTGTGTCCTGAGAAACTCCTATCTTCTAAATTATATCTACGCTCCTAGGACTGCTGATTTTACCTGTTTATTAAGTTCACATAAAAAGACATGTAGAAAAAATGCTCTTGTGTCTTCTTGCCCCTGCTGTCTTGGAGAAGGTAGGACAGGTGGCCGGAAAGCTTGCCAGATCCCTGGCATTGAGAGGGGGATAGATGTCGAGAATGTTACCCATATCATCTTGGATATTTACTATTAGGTGTGCTGAAAAATGTCTCAAATGTTGTGTAAACAGTCAGCGATGGGTCAAAGAAAGTTCAGTAGAATGAGTACTAATTGGGGACATCAAGAAATAGTAACAGCAGTTACTGCAGTAGTACAGTAGCAGAAGTTATAGCAGTTACAGTGACTAAAGATTGGTAACAGCTTATCAAGGAAAGATATCAAGATCACAATAGATAAAATTCTGACTGAATCAGCAGCTTATTGTTAATTCTGCGATAAAACAACCTTACTAAAGGGTAGACCACTAAGAGTCAGGTATGTCATGTCAAACAGTAAAGAAATCATCCAATTATGTTTGATGTTGATGGTATCTTGGAATACAAGTGTACTTCCTTAGACAGGAGACCAACAGTGAGCACAGCTCAAAAGGACTGTTCCGTTCCTTATCCTCCACACCCCGCACCCCAGTCCCCTAGGCCTTGGATCTCGATGGACAGGCTGTCCCTTCACTTCCCATTGGCGGTGTTCTACTCAGAGCTCATCCTCATCTGTTCATTACTGATTACATTTCTGTCTCTCCTTTTTCTGGCCCAGCCTTCTTTTTATAAAGTCAGAAAGTTCTACGAACATGGGACAGAACCTGACATCAAAATTATTCTGTAAGAAGTGCCAGCACTTGGTAGATAGAATGCACATTTTGGTTTACTCAAAAAATAATTGTGTTGATAGAAATGTAATTTCTATAAGTTGAGTGTATAATTTGCAGTTCCATTATATTGCTGTTTTTCTAAGCTTAGAAGTAATCTGGTGTACTTTATACAAAGATATATCATTTTAAATACTACTACTTAATTTTTTTCATGAAATTTTAATTTTTACAGTACTTTCCAAATTTTAAAAATATTAAGAGAGCATGGTGCTAATTAAGCTTTATAACATTGCAGTTCTCTAAAAAGAACTTTTAATAAAAATGATTTTTGTATTGCTTATATGAGGGTACATCATAAAATTTGTGGAAAATCAACTTGAAAGTTGTTTAATTTATATCTCTTGCACCTGGAATAACCTAACATGGGTTTATTAATTTTTTGGAAATAGACATGACACAAAATGAGCTGTTATTGTAGCTTTATTCATTCATTCAGCAAGAGAGGAATTTTCATATAAGCTTTGTGGATTTATCAAGAGATAAAAGCTCCTTTCTCTTGGAGCTTAACATCTTGTGGGGAAAGTAGAAGATAAGTAAGTGCCTAAGTGTATTATAATGTTAGGCACCGAGAAATGCGGTGACAAAAATGGAAGAAGCAGACAAACTGCTGGCTGATACCATCATCAGTAATAGGCAAATATATTGATTTTTTTTCCATCTGCCCATTTCTTCTGTCACTTTCAGCAACACACATACAGACAGACTCATTGTATACGCCAACATGTTAAGAGATGGATGTCTTCCTTACAATAACAATATGATCTTATTCACAGGCCAGGAAGCCAAGAAGGAGAAAGCTTAGGGATCGGTCTAGTCGGCAGCCAAGAGGGACTCAAGCCTAGGGTATTTCTAAAGTTTCATTTTTTTATTTTTGAAAATGCCAAACAGTAGGTTGGTTACCACTTCACCTAGACCGCTCACCTAGATTCCGCAGTTGTCCATAGCTCGCCGCGTTTGATTCCTCTCTTTTGTGATCTCTTTGTTGAATCATCTGAAGGTGAATTAAGGACATGTCCACTAAGGTGCAATTCCCACCTAAATATGTAAATTTGTGTTCCCTAAGGATCAAGACATTTCTTTTTTTTTTTAAAGATTTATTTTATTTTTATTGGAAAAGCGGATAGACAGAGAGGAAGATCTTCCGTCTGATGATTCACTCCCCAAGTGAGCGCAACGGCCGATGCTATGCCGATCCAAAGCCAGAAGCCTCTTCCGGGTCTCCCACGCGGGTGCAGAGTCCCAAAGCTTTGGGCTGTCCTCGACTGCCTTCCCGGGCCACAGGCAGGGAGCTGGATGGGAAGCAGGGCTGCCGGGATTAGAACCGGCGCCCATATGGGATCCCGGGCGTGCAAGGCGAGGACCTTAACCACTGCGCCACCACGCCGGGCCCAAGACATTTCTTACATGACATAATTCAGGTATCTCATCCAGAAAGCTGAAGAGCAGTACAACACTGTTATCTAACAAACTTTGAGATGTCTCCGGTTGTCAGTCGTGTCACTGTGTTCCGTTGCCTCTACTGGGCTCTTCCTCTGTTCCGAGCCGTGATGAGAACTTGAGCATGAATGATGATGCTGCGGAGGGCCTCATCCCGATCCTCATAAATGAAGGCGGAGTGTTCCTCATGGCCCTTATTCCTGTGGGGTGGACATGGACAGCCTGAAGGAAGGTCCAGCATACCATCTTGGTTGATATGTCACCTTATTTAGAGATAAGGCTGAGGATATTTCTTCCAGTGTATTTCTTCCAGCATGACTGCAGCCATGAGAGAGATCCATCTGCATAGTCCAGTATTATCAAATCAATGCCCATATGGGATCCCAGCGCATGCAAGGCGAGTACTTTAGCCACTGGACTACCGTGTCGAGAAAGCTGATAAAATCTTCGCCACCACTTTTATCCAGTTCAGCCACCTTGGATATATACAGGCCTTTGAATACATTTTATAAGAGGGGACCCTTGATGAGGCCTCTCCCTTGTTATGGAGGGGACCTCGACAAAGCTGACATCTCCCATTTTAGAATCTTCAGCGCAGGGTCTTAACTGCACCAATACACACATTTTTTTTTTTTTCGTAAGCTGTATTTGAAATCCATGCATAGACTTTTTTTAATCTTAGACTTCAGATTTTACATAATATTTACCTGATTCCCAACACTGAATACCCTTATCATGTCCAGCCTTGCCTCGGAGCACTTGCTCTTGACTCCTCAGGGGTGCAGCTCCAAGTCACATTATTAGTTTACGGTAGGTGGTTCTGTGAACACTTTGCTCATTTCCCCTTGGTGTGTTGTTTGACATTGCAGTTCTGTGCACCTGCGTCTTTCCCATCACTCATCAGCCTTCTCAGGTGAGCTAGGTTGACTCTGACCTCTGTGTCTCAAGGAGACCCTAAGTTTGGTTTTTGTTCTATGAAATTTCTCCAGATATTTTTTGAAATGAACCAGTTTTATGGAGATGGATTAAACACTCCATCTTCTGGAAGCAGGAAGATATTATGCTGTGTCCTGGCTTCCGTGAGCTGTCGTACTTGGCTGCTCTTACATGCAGGATCATGCTTGGGGGAGCACTGTCCCCACAACAGGCTCCAGTTTTGTTACATAGTGGATACCATGTCTTACTGTTTGTATTTTCGCCTCATTTTTCCGTTAAGTAAAATCTTCCAAGTGGTTACATGCCTGTAGGATTATTACACTATTCTTTATAGAGTCATTTTCTTTGTTTTTAATTTTTTGCTTTCATCATACTAACTTATATGTAGAATATACTTTGAGAAACTTGCCTTAAAACACACAGAAATGTGTTCTGTGTTGGGAGAGGGAGTTTGTTTTTGAGAGAGTTCTTGGTGGATGCCACCTGGCAGATGGAGTTCAGGTAATGGAGGGCTCTGAGATTTAAATGAAATGTGTGTTCTGGAAATCCCTCTGTAAGTAATTGTGATGAGCAGTTTTGGTAAACATGTAGAGTTGTGCAACCATCACAGCAATCCAGTTTTAAAACATTTTTGACCCCTTCAAAGTTCACTGGAGCCTCTTAATCTTCTAGCCATTAGGCAAGCGCCATTTTGCTCTTTGTAGATTTTGGCAGTTGTTTTCAACTAGAAATTAAAGAAGGAATTTTTTTTAACCTTCCTGTGTCCTACCAAAATAAGGATTTTATTTAAGATCCTGGGAATTCCTTAATGAAAGGAAGGGCACAGCATGGAGAGGCTACATATGGATGGAAACAGACCAGCATCTTGGGGCTCACTGGGGTACTCTTCAAGCAACACATTTCTGATCTGAGTTGACTGTATTCTGTTTCTACTAAATATTACTTGGAACTAACTCTCACTGTCACGTGGCTTTTACAAGTATGGAATGAGGGGTCTCCAAAAAATTCATGGAAAAATGTGTATTAGAAAAACAGGTTATGTGTGGGTTTGAAATATTTTCAGGGTGAATGTTTAGCCTGCATATAAATACGCTCATGTCCCATAGTTGAGTGCCTGGGATTGATCCCAGGCTTTGGCTCCTGGTTTGGTTTGCTGCTAACATAGACCCTTTGAGGCTGTAGTAATGGCAGGAGAGTTGGATAGAGAAGACCTGGTTCCCAGCTTCAGCATCAGCCTCACACTCAGCCTTTGCAGTAGATGGGAAGACACGCATGCTCCTCCTACTCTCTGTGTGTCTTTAAATATATACATATATACACACATACAAAAACCTTCTAAAATGTTCACTAGGTGTGGACTTGTGGAACAGGCCATTAAATCACTTGGGGCAGGTACATCCCATGTAGGAGTGCTTGCTTTGAGTCTCCGCTACTCTGCTTCCAATCCAGCTTCCTGGCAACCCTGGGGGACAGCTGGGATTGCTCAGGTGTTTGTGTCCTCCCACCCCTGTGAGAGACCAGGTTGAGTTTGGGCCTCCTGGCTTCAGCCTGACCCAGCGCTGGCTATAGCAGGCACTTTGAGAGTAAGCCAAAAAGTGTTAACATCTCTCTCCCCTCTACCCTCCCCCACCCCGTTTCTCAGTCTCTCCCTCTCACCCCTTTTCCACCTTGCAAATGAAATGAAGATTAATTTCAAACTACATTTTTTCATGAAAATAAACTTTATTTAGTTAGTTAGCTATTTTATTTATTTATTTAAGTCAAATATACAGAGAGGAGGAGAGACAGAGAGGAAGATCTTCTGCCCGATAATTTACTCCTCAAGCGACTACAACGGCCAGAACTGATCCGATCCGAAGCCAAGAGTCCAGAATCTCTTCTGGGAGCTGGATGGTCAGTGGGTTCACCAGGATTAGAACCTACACCCATATGGGATCCCAGCTCATTCAAAGCGAGGACTTTGAGCTGCTAGGCTATTGCACCAGGCCCTAAACTCGCCATTTAATTCCATAAACTTTCCAAAGCACATTATATAGGACTTCACAGGATTTTGTTTTGCTTTGCCTTTTAAATATTAATTTATGGGCCTGGCATGGCAACCTGGAAGAAACTCCTAGCTGCTGGCTTTGGATTGGCTCTGCTCTGGCTGCTGTGGCTACTTGGGGAGTGAATTAGTGGATGGAAGATCTTTCTCTCTGTCTCTCATCCTCTCTGTAAATCTAACTTTCAATAAGTAAGTAAAGAAATAAATAATTTTTAAAATATATGTATGTGAATTAATTATTTAATTTTAATTTACCTGAAAATCAGAGTCACAGACAGGGAGAGATCTTGCAGCCAGGACTCACTTCTCTAACCTCTAAGTGCGTTGTCTTAAGTAGTGTCTTGTGGAGGAAAACATCATTCTTTTTTCAACATCTGCAGGTGCAACTTAAAGAAACCATCGAAGATCTTCCTGGCAAAATGGACACGGAACTAGCAGAGTCGGGATCTAACTTTAGTGTTGGGCAGAGACAGTTGGTGTGCCTTGCCAGGGCCATTCTCAGGAAAAATCGAATATTGATTATTGATGAAGCAACAGCAAATGTGGACCCAAGGTACAGTGCTGAATTCAGTGGGGAACCGAATCTGAATGTTGTGTGTAGTGCATGGAAGCCATTGAATAATGCTTACAAATGTTAATTCCCCGGGGAGATATGTTAAGGACATTAATTCTAAGAAAATGGGAAGAGACCAATAAATGCTTTCTTGTGCTATTGATAGCATTTGGCATGTTAAGGAAGTTCTATTCTTTAATGCAACACTGCATAGTTTAAAGCAATTTGTAGGTAAACATAGTTTCCATTATATTAAAAATAACAAAAATTAAGTTTCATTTGTGTTTGTGTGACAGAAAGATAAAGAATAAGTTTTTGAGCAGACTGTTGATAATGGTTTTTTTTAAAACAAGATCATGTCAAAATATTGATTTAAAAAAAAAAAACATTATTACATGGAGCCTGGCACAGTGCCTTAGTGGCTAACGTCCTTGCTTGCATGCACCAGGATCCTTAGGACCCTGCACCCATGTGGAAGACCTAGAAGAAGCTCCTGGCTCCTGGCTGCAGATTGACTCTGCTCCAGCCATTGTAGCCACTTGGGGGTGAACTAGTGGGTGGAAAAATTTTCTCTGTCTCTCCTTTTCTTTGTAAATCGACCTTTCCAATAAAAACAAGTATTTTCTTAAAAGATTGTTACATAACCTACCTTGAGTCGATTTCTGCTGCCTTTATTGAGATGAATTTTACTTCTTGGATTCCAGAACCGATGAGCTGATACAGAAGAAGATCCGGGAGAAGTTCGAGCAGTGCACCGTGCTGACCATTGCACATCGCCTCAACACCATCATCGACAGCGATAAGATCATGGTGAGTCCCCGCAGTGGCATTACACCACTTCCGCTTTTAGTTTTCTTGCTATCGAAACTTAATGGAAATCCTTTAAAAGTTAATCTTCTTTTCCTGTTCCCTCTGATGCCCAGCAATAAGACGACATTCACTGCTATTAGAGATTACATTCCCAGACAGCTGTGCCTGTTTTTATACTAGATATTGATTTGAATTGCCTTGTGTTTTGCATAGCCAACTGATGACAGTGTTCCAAACACGGGCTCGTGATGCTGGGTCGTACTACAGGCCGATGGGACATGATTGCTTTCATTGTGTCATGGTTGTTTCAGTGTGTGAGATTTTTGTCATAAAAAATTCAGTCTTTTATTAGAACCAGCAGGAAGTTGTTGGGTAAGGCTACGAAATTTCTCAGTTTGGGGGATATCTGGGAGGGGAGAGCAATGGTTAGACCATTTTCAGAAAAACACCTGCTGCACGTGGTGTTGAGAAGGTGAACTCATATGGTATTCAGGTTCCTCAAGGAGGGACTGGTCTTGACCTGTCAGGGTGTCATTGGAGATTCTCAGGTTCCCCATTAGCGTGCCTGGCTTTAATTCTTGGCTCCTGATTCCATCTTCCTGCTAAGGCAGACCTGGGGAGGCAGGTGACATCTGAGGCGCTGCTCACGGGAGACACCCAGCTTGATGTCCCAAGCCTGGCCCAGTCCTGAGGACATGTGGGCGAGAGACCAGTAGATGGGAGCCCTCTGTGTCTGGCTGTCAGTCTAACAAATTTGTAAATAAATGTTTTAAGAATATGACTTTATACAGAAATATATTTTTATATTAAAAAAACTAAAATTGAAACTACTATGTAACCCAATTCATCAGTTCCATTAATGGGCATATATCCAAAGAAATTGAGCTCAGTGTGGTGAGGGAATATCAATACTGTCCATGTTCGTTGCAGTGTTAGTCACAGTAGCCAAGATTACAAAGTCAACCTAAGTGTCCAGTGGATGAACGGATGGGAAAATGTGGTATACATAAATAACGAAGTACTGCTTAGCCTTTAAAAAGCAAGACGGTGGTCCTGTTTGTTTGCAACACCATGCATTGACCTGGAAGATACTGCGCCAAGTAAGATAGGCTGGGCACAGAGTAGAGTCTGCGATAATTTTATCAGAGGCCGAGGGTGGGGAAGAAGGAGATGGAGAGATTGGTCGAAGGGTTCCAAGTTTAATTTAGGACAAGTAAGTTGTGAGATTGAATCCATGATAAAGTGACTACAATCAGTAATTGGGAGTAAATCTCAAATGTTTTATCAAAACAATGATGAAAGTGAGGCTCTAGATATGTCACCCAGCTTAATCTAATCTTTCTGTGTTACACGTGTAGCAAACCTTCTGTTTTACCCCACAAGTAAAAATAGCTTACACACACACACACACACACACACACACACACACACGCTTACTCAGCTTTAATAAATCTTACGTTGTGGCTTTATAAAATTGTAAGAAAAACATTCCTCAAAGGAGAAATATATGGCTGAAACAAGCCCATAATAATACAGATTCTTTTCTTGTCTTTTTGGAAAAGAGATTTACTTTTTTTTTTAATTTAAAAGACAAAGATGTAGAAAAGATCTTGTATCTTCTGCTCTTCCAAATGACCATGGTGGTCGTAGCTGGGCCAGACCAAAGTTAGCAGCCAGGAACTCCTTTCAAGTCTCTCCTGTGGATAGCAAGCGTCCAAGTAATTGGCCATCTTCTGCTGCCTTCCCAGGCAGGCAGCTAGAAAATAAGCAGAGCTTCAGGACTTGTACCTGTGCTCTGGCTGCTCTGATGTGGGCCTGGCATTGCAAGCAGTTGTGCCACATTGCAGACTTATACAAATTCTTTTCTTTTCTTTACTTCTTTCCTTTCCTTTCTTACTGACTTATTTACTTGGAAAGAGAGCAAGAGCTTCCATCCACTGGTTCACTTCCCAGATGGTTCAACTGCTGCAGCTGGTGGGTCTCAAGTCAAGAGCTAGGATCTTCCCCAGACTTCTCACATGAATGTGGAGACCCACACATTTGGCCATGCCTCTGCTACTTCCCCAGGTACATTAGCAAAAAGCTAGATTGGAAGTGCAGCTGACGGAACTCCACAAGCACCAATATGGGATGCTCGTACTTTAGACAACAGCTTTATTTGCCATGCCACAGCATTGACCCCAATGCAAGTTATTTTCAATCCAACCTCAACCTGCGGTAATGGACTGATTATCATCTAACTTGTGGACCCCAGCCACTGTCACTGATAAAGTGACAAAGAAAGAATCAAGTTTAACAAGACCCATGTAGTGCATCAGAAATAACTGGTGGAGTTTACTCAGCTATTTAAATGGTCCAGACTTCTTGTGTCTAATAACTATGGATGTTCCTCTTTTGATTTTGGGGGGAAGTTTCTAGACTGTTACTTCCTGTCTACCCCATAAGCATGGTCAAATGGGAGCCTTACTAGGGACATTTGAGCAAACCCCATACTGTCAGTGTTGAAGCTGTGTCTTTAGCCTGTGCCATACTCCCCAGAGCATTAGGAGGAGTGGCGTAGTCCCAACCAGGCTATGGTGAGCTTGAGGCAGTGGGGCCGATCCACAGCAGGTACAGGCCACTCCCTCAGACTGTGGTGTGTGATTGTGTGACTTTTCAAGAAACAGGACAGTGACTCAAAATTAAGGCTTTGAACATCTTTAGCTTTGCACACCCTTTCTGCTTCAGTCTGCCTTCAGTCTGTGTTCTTGTATGGCCAATTGACAGGTAACTTCTTTGTGAATAGACCTAGTGTTAACCAATGCTGGGGGCCAGGGGGTACTACTTCAAAGAGGACACCAAAGGACACCAACCTGTGCCAACCCCCTGAGAGAGGAGGTTACACACTTCTGTCCACGGCCTGGGCTGCATTTGTCAGTTGGTGCCCGTGTCTGTGGAGACCACACACACATGCCATGAGTTACATGAAAAGCAAGCTTACTTACAGGGCAGTAGCAGGGTCCTTAGCACACAAGCTATCGTGGGTCAATCCTGCACTACTTAAGAAGGCTGGTCAGGAAGGATAGTCCACTGTGTCACTTGCCCTTCAGCCAAGAAAACCCCACAAGGCAGCCTGCTGTGGTTTATGTACCTTGGGGACCACAAGACTCACTTGGTAAACTCTGAAGGACCTCATGCTACTGGGACTAGAGGAGCAAGGCTGGAACTTGCGTGGGCAGTTTCTCCCTAGCTTCAAATACAGCCTAACGTGGGAAGGACGTGAGTGAGGCCCTGCGCATCTAGGCTGTCCCTCCTTCTAAGAATCTGCACATTCTGCAGCTACCCTGGGAAAAACAAGCCAGAACGGGAGATGAGCCGGGCTGACCCACAACCGCCCTAATAGCCATCTTGTTCCTTCATTTCCGTTTGTTCCCTGTCACTTCTACAGGAGCTGAGTGGCACTGTAATCGTTGATTGGAAGCCCTCGGCCCACTCCATGGATTCCCGGCAGAAAGCCACCTGATCTTCAGCAGAGTCAGGGATCCAGTCCAGATAAACCCTTTGCTTCTGAGTGAGCCAGGCATACTTTGTGGTGCTTGAGCAGCACAGTACCTGGGGTATTACTGTCTAAGACTTAGAAATGCTGTCACTTTGAAACATCCTGCTAACCAGGGAGACGGCAAGGAGCCATAGCACTTGACAGAATTGTCATCTACCCATTCTACTTCTCAGTCAGCATTTGATGCACACACGTGGCCTCCTGGTCCACCAGAAACCCCTGAAGCAATCATCTCTCCTGCTGCTTGGGCCAAGTTGCTTCATGCTCTACCTACCAATGTTTTCTAGGAAATTTTGAACACTTACATTTTTTTTTTCTCTCTGAATCATTGTCCGTATGTGTGGTTTTCTAAAAATTTATTTTATGTATTTGAAAGTCAGAGTTACAGAGAGGTGAAGACAGATCTTCCACCCACTGGTTTGCTCCCTAAATTGCCCCTGTAGCCAGGGCTAGACCAGGCCATAGGCAGGAGTCAGGAGCTTCTTCAAGGCATCCCGCATTGGTGCAGGGACCCAAGTACTTGTGTCATCCTCTGCTGCTTTCCCAGGCCCATTAGCAGGAGGCTGAATTGGAAGTGGAATACCTTGGTCTTGAACCAGTGCCCATGCGCAATGCCACTGCTATAGGCAGTAGCTTAAGACATTGACTATACTGCTGCCCCCACACCCCCACTGTGTGTTTTATAAAGCAATTTGCAGTCAGCCCTTCTCCCCTTTGTGGTCTTGTCAGTTTCTCCCTCCCTGTCCTTGTCATAGTTGAAGCCACAGAGACAAGTTTTGGTTCTTAAGATGCTCGTCCATTCTGAGTGAGGACTGTGTCCTCTCTACCCTCATTCTTCCTGATGTTGGTGTCCTGAACCAAAGTGCTCACCCTGGACAGGTAACACAGATGGGTTGAGGGTAAGTAACCAGCCAGGGGCACCCAGGACTGAATGTGGGATGCGAGGAAAGGGGTCAGTAGTGATTTATAGGGTGAGGGCCGAGCTCTGGAAGGATGAGGACACGAGGGGAGAAGCTGATGGAAAGGAGGGATGCCAGGGCTCTTTGTTAGCAGGTGACCTCTAAGATGACCTTGCGCTTCACCACTCACAACTCCAGTGTTGGAGGATCTTTAGTTCCAAGGCCAGGAGGCCCCCAGCGACAGCCCACGGGTGCCACCAGGAATTGAAACCTTGGCTACTTGAGGTTCATTTCTTTGCTGATGTCTCTGATAGGGCATGCAGAACTTGACGTTGGGGACCCCAAGAGGTTTCCTTTTTTGTAGCTTCAGAGGAACTGGCCCCTTACTGCGCCCATGCCAGGTAGAGGCCCTCTTTTGTTGTATACTTTCTTTCTGGTCATCGAATGGCTTTCAGTTCAGCAAATAAAATAACCCAGTAATGTTCTTTCTCAAACCTTAGTTCCTTGAAGCAAAGCTTATCTCCAGCTTGCTTTAGGAATACTTATTTCCTTTCCCGAAAACA